GGTCGTTTGTAGATTTGTCATCCACCCGAGTGTCATCATAATAAGGAGTCAATCTTTCAAGTGGCATTTTTGCAATTTTTTCGGCGTTGAGTTGAGAGGAAACAGGAAAAAAAAAGTAGGAGAGGGGAGTAGGGGGCCAACAGAAATAGTGGGTTTTGGAGGAAAAGTAGAGAGCCAACACAAGTATGGGTGTAGAAGGGGGCCTGCTGTAATTGGGTTTTTTTTACTTTCGCTATCCAAATCCAGAGTAAGGTTGGTTTTTTTTTTTTTTTACTTTCGCTATCCAAATCCAGAGTATGAGGTTTTAGAGGAGGTCAAAGTAGGTGTCCCTGCACTTTCGCTAAGATTCTCGGTTGGGAAGATGCTCGGTTGGTAGTGTAGTTATTAGTCTCTCGATTAAGGCATTATATTAAAACTAATCAGGGTCACGGGCTAATAACGGCCCCCAGTCCAAATTGAAGAAGGAACTAGAGTATGTTCGCACGTATAGTGAAGAAGAAGCAAGTTATTATAGTATTGAGTTAGTACTACATCATATCGATATTAATTGCCACGCAAGCAGTAATAATAACAACTAGAGGGAAGGAAGCCACGGTTGCGTGAACGTGCAGTGCTAGCTAGCTATGGCCCCGCCTGGCCTAGCTAGGTCTAGAATCATTCACCAGTCTCCACCACGGCACCACCCCGGACGTACGTAACGATGCATGCATGAAGAGGCATGGAGCTGACCTGGCCTGGCCTAGACTACGACGACGTACGGCGCGGATCAGGCAGCCTGTTCGGGAGGCCGTATCGTATCGTGAATTATTTACTGCTGGCTGGTTTGGTGTGAGAGAAAAACACTGCCACGGCAAATTACGATCGTTCTGAGCAAGCGAAGCAGTTGCCGGGATCGATCGAACCACGCGTTCTGAGCAGGCGGACCCGATGGGTAACCTGGATAGGCCTGACTACCCACAAATTTGGCCTAAAATTCTATTACTACTCTTGAGAAATCGGCCCAAATGCTCTCTTCGTCTCACCTTTCAGGGCCGAAGACACCGCAAATCCACGAGCTCTTCAAAATAATAACGCTACCGAGAGGGATCGAACAGGGGACCTCTGCCTCATTGCAGCGCACTTACCATCCGACTCGAAAGTTTGTTGGATAGACAATACCATAACTCTATTTAATAAAGGAAAACAGGGAAAATACCCCTTAATTAATCACTCCTTGTATGCTAAATCATGTCCTAAACGACTTTCTTTACCAGTATGGAGGGAGTATTTATGTAAGTTTCCAACCTTTTAAATGTATTATCATAATTTGGTTAATTTATAGCTAAGTTTGTCGAACTTTTGTTTGTATTTTATAGTATTGCACATAAATTTTTTTTACTAGGACTACCCTGGTGTCAGATCCTGGGTCCGCCACTGTTTACAGGGCAGGGCAGAATGGCAGATCTATCGCGATGTCGATCGCCGACGCGGCGCGCATGATCTGCTCAGCTCCATGGTCCATGGATCTGCCGCTTCCTTTTAATTATGCCTCCCTTCCATGAAACCGATCTTCCGGTCCGGATACTCCGATCTTCCGGTCGGTCCGGATACTCCGGTCGTTGGCGTGGACGGCGGAGAGATATCGACTAGAGGCAGCAGAAGGCGCGCGGCCAACGAATAACGCGGCGGCCGTGCGCGACTACATTAGCTAATAGTGACGGCGACATGATACGGCTTCATGCGCGTGCGTATATCGTAGCATTCCTAATGCTTTCGTCCGTTAAGAAAAAATGTAATTATGAGATCATATCAATTAAAGTAACTTAAGTTTGATCGAATTTATAGTAAATAATATTAACATTTATATCTTCAAATAAAATTTATTACAAAAATATATTCTATAACTAATCTAACGATATTTATTTTATATCATGAATAATAGTAATTTTTTATATAAATTTAGAGTATCTATCAGTGCGGCACGCACACGGCCGCCCGGCAATGCCGGCTGGAACAAAACCTGCTGCTGCTGGCCGGTGCTGGGAATGAGATCGGGCCGATCGGATCGGATCGGATGCTGCATCGTCTCGTCTGACATACGTCTGCTGTCTGTTCGCATGCGTTATTGTTAGGTCCACTCAACTAGCAGCCAGGGTCCTAAATCATATGATCACATTGTTATTCATCTACTCTCTCTCTCTCTCGGATCGGATTAAATTATCGTCTCGTTTCTGATCATAAAATTTTTTGGATTTTCGCTCATGCGTTTCGTTTGTTTTGGTCCACTCAATTATGGACTAATTAGGTTCAAAAGGTCCTAAATCATATGATCACATCTACATTTAGTACTCATCTGTGCTCTCTCTCTCTCTGTGACTCCTAATTTTTTGGAATTATATCAACTTTTAGAGTCATCTTAAGTCAAACTATATTTTAAATCAAATCAACTTTTACCAGTTGTCTTAAGTCAAAGCATTTTAAGTCTTACCAAATTTATAATAAAAAACATCAATATGTATGGCACTAGATTAGTATCACTAGTAACATCATGTATATATATATATATATATATATATATATATTCATAATGTACTTATTTCATGCCATAGATGTTTGGTACATACACCATCTTTCTATAAAATTTGTCAAACCTAAGATAGTTTGACTTCCGGTGATTTAAAAATTTAATTTATTTTAAGACGAAAGGAGTACACTATACACTAGCCAAGCGCGCGCTCTATCTCGCTCTCTTTTTCTCCATGTGTACGAGTATGTATATATGTAAGTGTTACGGGTTGAAACCGCGACAAAATTGTTGTTCGTCGGGTGTCACTGAGTGTGTCTCCGGTGGCTCGGGTGGACTCAAAACACAAAAAACACAGAGAGGACGCAGCGGTTTAGCCCGGTTCGGGTTATCGGGGCTCTACGTCCAACAGCTGATGATCCTTATACTTGAGAGCACCCAAAATCGGGGGATTACAACGGAGTGTAAGAGAGATTTTGTAGAGGATTGCTCAGTGCTGATCCTAGAGACCTCGTCGTCGGTGGGAGCCTTCCCCCTCGTCGGAGAGGAGGAAGATGATGGAAGCAGGGGAGGAGCTCTCGGTGCTCCTCTTGTGGTGGCTCTGCTCTCGGTGCAGAGCTCGAGCTGTCTGGTGAGGACCCGAATGATCTGTCTCAAATCGTCCCGTCTGGAATCGTCCTCCCCCTCTGGGATCCAACCTCCCCTTATATAGCGAGGTAGGTCGGGTACATGATGGTTTGTGGGGTTTAGCCTATAGTCTACATGCGCTGGAGTCTAGGAGGGTCTTGCAGCGGCGTCGTGTGGACCTTGGCATTGTCGTGGAGCCGAAGAAGGCCCTGGCGTCGTCCGACTGCTCTGTTCTGACACGCTAGTGTCAGGCTATGTTGGCTTGTGGACCGGCCTCTACCAGGTGCACCTTCTGCGAGGTTTCTTGGTGGCGAAGGCAACCGTCTTAAGGGGCTGAGGCGCGGGTCCGGAAGCCCCCGAGCCCCTGAAGCCAGCGGAGGAGTTTGTCTTCTTGCGTCATGCCTCGTGCGTGACCCTATCGTAGGAGTGGTTGACAAGGCCGCGCCTGCTGGGCAGCATCGAGGAGCCCTCGAGCCTTGGAGCCTCGGGGCACCTATCTCTGGCCCGGCTTTTCTAGCTCCGAAGGCCTAGAGGGGGCCAAAGATCGGTCCAGGATTCCGTTGATCGGGAGCCTGAGGCTTGGGTGAGCCCCCGAGCCTCGAACAGATATGGCGGGCGTGCTCGGGCTCGGCCCATTTCCTTGACCGGAGGGTGCGCGCGAGCGCACCTGAGGGGTGTAGCCCCCGAGGCCCCGGGCAATACTGGAAGGGTTGGCCGAGGGGTTTCTTGGTCGGGAACCTTTGATCCCGATGCTTAACATGCCCCTATATTAGGATCTCGTCGGTCATTTACACCGGAAAGAGTTACCACTATGAGTTATCAAAGTACTTTCTTCTGCCATTAATGAATCTAGCAATGCCCAATCTTGTGTTGTCAATCAATCTATATAAAGTCTCACATATTGATTGATGCACATGGCTGGGGCATGCATATGCCCTTAAGGGCAAAAACAACAACATTTGTTATGTTTTCTCCTTATCCACGGTTCTTCACCGAGAGTTGTTCAATCGTTGGCAGTTGCGTATAGGTACATAGTGTCTATCAACAACTTGTTATGGTTACAAAAATTGGTAGACACGAGGATCGCCAACATTTTTGTTTCCCCTTTTGAGGCCACAAGTTAGAACATTTCGGACTCTCGCGTATTGCGTCTACTCAACAAACATTCCTAGTTTGTACGAATGTGTATACATACATTGGTTTCATTTCTCGAATGAGAGGTAAGGAAAAGGGAAATTCCTTAAACATTACTCACTCATCTTATCCTTGCATCTGCGTGTCATGCGTGTTTTTTTTCCTACTTGTCCATCCGCATGTCACTCGTTTCATTTTGGCCTATCTGTTTTTCTTTAGATAATGGAACAAAGTTCTAGATTGTGGCCTATCTGTGCGCGGGCGAAATCACCGTTCGAGATTACATGTCAAATGCTCGAGAGATATGGACACAACAATAATGTTACCCAAGCAACATGATGATATGTCCACATTGTGCCCTAATAGCTAGTCACATGTGGTAGAATGTTGTGTGCTTCCGTGTCCCTTCTGCCGTGTTGCTCTATCCTTTTTCCCTTGAGTCTGTACCAGAAAGAAGCCAGCTCTCTCTTGGTGGCTTGTGGGTTTTGTTTCTTGCCTTGCAGGAGCTTCTCTTCGTTCATCTCTCTCCACACTCCTGGATCCCATCCTATATAAGGGGAAGGCCACAAATTCATTTGAAAAAAAATCAAGTTCCATATACAAAGCTACAGAGGGAGTCTTATAGGTGCTGCTTTGACAATCAAACTTGCTGTGAGTTATGTTAGATTGAGAGAACAAACTGACCATACAAGACAGTGATAGCACAATTTTGTTCTGTTTGAGCCAGTGCGTCAAAATGAGACGATCACCATCACCTTCATCATCTTCATCGTCATCATCCAGATCCATTTTTGGGACCGGAACTCGTAAGTTTATATCAAAGCGTACATGCATGCCTTGCATTCATGCATCTTACTATGGCTTGCCAATTTATAGTTCTTTTTAGCAAATATTGATTGTTCTCTTAGCAATGCTGCTATTTCATTTACCAAATTAATTAATAAAACTACTGGAAATGCTCCCATTAGTTGGCCATGAACTTTACACACAAAAAAATTGGCCATGAACTGTTCTGGTTTAATTTCTCCCCATGCATGTTCTGTGCCCGGCAAAATGCTAGCAGTCTTTATCCTTGGAAGGAACGTTTTTGTCTTAATGCACATGTGTTATTGTTGATAAGTTCGATCTTATGATAATAATGTTTTCATCACACACAACTGCAAGATAATTAAACACGCAGTGTATTCAATTGAGTTACGAAAATGGACTCTGTTTTTGTACATGTTTAATTTAGACTAGTTGAGTGTGTGAGAATTTGATGCATGCATGTATAGTCCACACTCCACACATGGTCAAGCTAGATAGGATAGTCTTTCATATGCAAGGCTACAAAACTAATAAACTGTTGAGATTGAAGCATGTTTTTCTTTTCCTTCTTTGAAATGTGAAGCATGTTTATTTCCTTGAGTGATTGTCGTCTGCAAATTAAAGTTGCTGTCGATATAATGCTGCACACTTGTCTTTCTAGCTAGCTAAGCTAAGCTAAGCTTGTTACTCCTACTTGCATGTAAAGCAACGACAATCTTTACTAAGAAAAACCATTTCTTGACGCTTTCTCCTGTCGTCCATATATATGTACCACGCACGTTGCTTTGCTTTGCTTTGTTCTGTTGCTTGTTGCCCTCGCTCTCTTGTAGTCATGTCTCATCTCCAGCTCAAACTCTGACTCTGATCTGATCCATCGTTGCAGCTGATGACACCATGGAGAGGAGCAGATCCACCCCTTCCAGCAGAACACCGGAGAGCTCGAGGCTGCCGCCGCGCAGCCCGCTCGGCGTCGACGAGGAGTACGACAGCGCCTTCAAGTCCAAGTCTTTCCTCGACCTGTGGTCGCACGCGCATCGCCACCTCATGCACACCTTCACCTCCGCCTCCTTCAAGCTCTCATCTTCGTCCAAGTCCGGCGGCGTCAAGGACGACAACGAGCCCGACGCGGCGTCGGCCGCCGCCGCCGCCTTGGAGCAGTCGTGCTCGTACACCGTCCTCGACGACTTCGTGCTGGAGCCCAGCCCGGAGGTGCTCGGGCGGGGCGGCGGCGGCGGAGGCGGAGGCGCCGCGTCGAGAGGCTGCTGATCGAGTACTTCGACGTGACGCAGGAGGCCTGCGAGGCGTGCTCCTCGCTCCTCGCCGCCATCGGCGCGGCGCGGCGCCACCAGCTGACGCTCCGCCACCTGCTCCACCGGCTGGAGGAGGACAACGACGGCGGCGGCAGCGGCAGCGACCCCGCCGCTGGAAGGGACGCGGTCGCGGCGCACGTCCGCCTCGACAACCCGCTGTCGCCGGGCCGGCTCGCGGGGTTCCACGAGGTGCACGGGCGGTGCGGCCCGCTCGCGGCGCGCCTGGCGTCGGCGCAGCGCCGGCTGCGGCGGCTGGCCCGGGCGATGCGCGTGGCGCGGGGCACGGCCGCGGCGGCGCTCGTGGCGGCGTGCGCGGCCGCCGTCGTGGCCGCGGTGGTGTTCGCCGCGCACGCGGTGGTGGGCGTCGGGGCCGCGGCCGCCGCTGTGGGAGCCGGCCCGGCCACCGCCGTGCGGCAGTGGGCCGCCGAGCGGGTGAGTCCGCGGCACTACGCGCGCGCAGGCGCCGCGGTGGACGCGGCGGCGCGCGGCGCCTACATCGTGGGGCGGGACCTGGACACGGTGAGCCGCATGGTGCGCCGCGCGCACGACGAGCTGGAGCACGGCCGCGACGTGGCGCGCATCGCGGTGCGGGGCCGCGGCGAGCGCCCACTGATGCAGGAGGTGGCGAGGGAGGAGGCGGAGTGCGAGGAGGACCTCAGGGCTCAGCTGGAGGAGCTGGAGGAGCACGTCTGCCTCTGCCTCATCACCATCAACCGGAGCAGGAGGATGGTGGCGCACGAGATGACGCAAGGCCTGCCGTCGTTGGAGGCGACGCCGCCGCCGTCCCAAGATTAGCTTCGCATCATTCATCAATCATCTCTTAGCTAGCTAGTTCATCATTGTGATTCTACAGTAGAAACGAGAGGAATAATTGACAGCGAATTCTTTTTCATGTACAGTACGTAGTATACAATTTTTTTTCGTGGGCAGGTGTGTGTATGTACAAGCAACTCCTTTGAGCTTGCAGAGATATAATTTTCCTTTTGCTTATGTTAGTATTATTTTATCTTTTTATGTATTACAGTTAGATATGAGCTATATTCGGTACTCCCTCCATCCTGAAAATATAAAGACATCCAAGCGATTTTCACACAAAATAAGGAGCTTGGTAAAAGACCACCTTGTCCCTCACTAATTAGGATAGAAAGAGTAGTTAAATCGTTACTTTCCTTAGTTACCAATTGGCTTTGTAGATGACACCAAGTTTAAAAGGAATATAAGTATTTCGTGCCAAAAAAGACAGAGAAGAGAGGAGGTTGAGGACCAGAATATCTTGTATTTTGGACTTTGGTACGAATTTTGAATCTTTGATCCCTTATATTTCAGGATGGAGGAAGTAGTTAGGGATCGAGCTAGGTCGTGTTTTGATATCCCTGGGCTATAGGGGTGAAAATGGACCGGGAGCTGATAACGTCTCTCCCATATTCTAATTTTCTTATTTCCCTTATCAGATTAGAAGTGAAGATATAATGCACAAATGCGTAGAAAATACTGATATGGATTATCGGATGTTAGAAATGGCAGGAAGATGAAACCAAACTAGGATAGATAGGGATTTTAATAATCAGTTATATACTATATAAACAGAGAGACACACACGTGGAGAACATACTGCATGTCAATAATTGACAAATCATGCTCAACATATGTACACTAGCCAAAAGTAACAAGTAAACTTTGTTATAAAAAAAACTAATTAAGCATTTTTTTTTTTCTTGAAGCATTTTTTGTTTTGCAAAAAAGCATTTTTTGTTCACTTTAAGATTTTAGTCCAAGGATGTGTTTGTGTTGTGTTGTGTTGGGCAGAGAAATATCATATAATGTATTTTAAATACCGACCAATCCATATAAAAGTTACAAGACAAGATAGATGTTGCCAATCACATATTCTTCCACACATCCACCTATTTGTTAGATACATATTATCGTATCCGAATGGATTCATAAAAGTAGTTTATGTCCTTAAAAGTCAGTTTTGGAAATTATCCGTAGTACTTTTACTCTTGCTTGGGGCCATAAGGGTTGTCCAATAATGTAGAGTTTAGGATTGTTTAATTTCTATAGTCATTAACTAAGGTGTCAATTAAGTAAAATGGTGATGTGGTATTGAAATTAAGGAAGATAAAATGATTTCTTATTATACCATAAACTATGTTTACACGGGAACCAAGATATGATAAGTAAATGGTAGAAGAGAGAAGACACGTGGTTGGAAAAAAAACTATTTTGAAGAAAACAACCATTGGGTGTATTATTTCTATGTATAGTGTCTACTTAACTTAGTAAGTACTCCCTCCATCCCAAATTGTAAGACGTTTGACTTTTTTGGTCCTATTTCCACTGTTTATGCAAATATAGTCAAATTTAAGTCATTCTTGAAGAATTTTTATTAATAAACCAAACCACGACGAAAGAAGTGATGTTTTACACAAATTTTTGAATAAGACGAGTAATCAAACTTGATGTCAAAAAAGTCAAACGTCTTACAATTTGGGATGGATTGAGTATATAATAAACTCTTATAATTCCTCTGTTGGGAGTGCTTTAGACAGCACCGTTATAAACTGATGCATTAAGCCAAAATTGTGCTTGCTTCCACATTCATTCATTGATCCGAGGCTGTTGACATGTTATTGCCTCTAGTAGTTTAGCTTTCTATTTTTTTTTCTGACGACATGGCAAAGCATAGGATTAAAAATCTGTGACCTTGCAGTTACACGGTTTCTTTTCCAGCTCATTGATCTCCAAACACTAGTAAGTCGTACCGCCAGATCTCTGTTGTCAAAAAAAAAAAGCCAGATCTCCAAACATTATTATTGCTAGCAAGCTGCACAGTTGCAAAAACAGCACCCAGTTGGAACAACTGAAAAAAAAAAATTGGCTTAAAAAATTGAATTAAAAAACGCCAGATCTCTGTTGTCAAAAAAAAAATGGCCAGATCTCCAAACACTATTGCTGGCATGCTGCACAGTTGCAAAAACAGCACCCAGTTGGAACAACTGAAATAAAAAAAAATTGGTTAAAAACTGAATTAAAATATTCCAAGTTGGAGATGCGGGGTATCGATCCCCGTACCTCTCGCATGCTAAGCGAGCGCTCTACCATCTGAGCTACATCCCTTTGTTTTTTTTCTTCAAAATGTAACATATTTGATGAATAATTACTCAAGATGTTTTTTACTTTCTATAGAAGGTGAGCACGAAGTCTATTTGTTAATATTCAACTTTCACGAAAATGTGTTTCTTAACCCTGAATATACGTCCTACAGCTATCAAAATGGAACGATACACCACCCCAAAACTACAAAACTAGGTACTTGACACCCTGTGATGAGTTACAAGTTACAAGCAACTCCTTTGAACTTGTAACAACAGATAGTTTTCCTTTTGCTTTTTGTTAGTTTTATTTATGCTAAACATGTGAACAGGTTAAGATATGAGCTATAATTGGAAGTTAGGGATCGAGTTAGATAGATTTTTGTATTTTGTGGGGCTAGGTGCGAAAATGGACAATATTAGAGCAGATAATGAAGCTAATAATGTCTCTCCTATATCTTAATCCTCTTTCCTTTCTCGAACTAGGAGCGGAGGAACATATACGCATGTAGGGATTTTCTGATGTTAGAAATAATGGAAGGGATATGAAACGAAACCGGTATAAAGAGTGATTTTAATAATTGTAGAAGGTTCCTGAAAAAGCTTGGGAAGTTGCTCAGGGGGAGTTTCTCTGCTTTTAGTACAAAGTGCAACCTTTGGAGTTTTTGTCTGCTTGGGGGAACTACTGGCTTTTTAAGCTTTTTAGAGAAGCAAAATCTAGCAGAAACTCCCAAAAAGGGGGCCAATATCTGCATATGTAGAGAATATACTTGTTAATAATTGACAAAGCATGCTTAACAATTGTACACTAGCCCCAAAAGGTAACATGTATATTTTGTTATAGAAGAAATCTAATTAAGCAATTTTAGTTCTCTTTATGATTTCAGTCTAGATATGTGTTTGTGTTGGATTGGGGATAGGAATATCGGAAAAAAACTATTTTAAATACTGAACATGCCATATAAAGTTACAAGTAATCCAAATCCATAAAATAGATGTTGCCAATGGCGTATTCTTCCGCACATCCACGTATTGTTAGATCTGGATTATCCATATTCGGATGGATTCATAAAGCTAGTTTATGTCCTTAAAAGTCGGATTCGGAAATTATCTCTGCTTAGGGCTAGAAATGCAAGACACTACAGTTATAAATTGATACGTTAAGCTAAAATGTTTGTGCTTGCTTCTAGATTCATTGATCCAATACCGTTGACACGTTAGTATTGTCACTGGTCTTGTAGTAATCTAGCTTTCTGATTTCTTTTCTGACGGCGTGGCAAAGCATAAGATTAGAAATCTGTGATTTGCAGTGACATGACGTGTGTTTTTTGAAGTCTCAAACTGCACACAGGAGGGAATGTTGGCATGCTGCAATGTGCGCCAAAAAAAGAGACAAATGAAGCAAATAAAAAAGAAAGACTGAGAAAATGGAGATGCGGTGTATCGATCCCCGTACCTTTCGCATGCTAAGCGAGCGCTCTACCATCTGAGCTACATCCCCTTGGCGTTTTGTGACATGAGTACAATCTACATGGTGAAATAAGCACAACAACTATCAAAATCAGATGACCACCACCCCGAACTCAAGATGGCAACGGGTACCCGAAACCCGAGTACCCGACGGGTTTTACCCGATAAGGAGGTGGGTATGGAAGACATTTTGCACCCGCGGGTACGTTATTGGACAAATTCTTATACCCATCGGGTATATGTCGGTGCTGGTGTGGGTGTATACTACCCATACCAGCGTACCATGTTAAAAACTTTTATAAATAATATCCAACCTCTACAATTTTAGCCCATATAAGCATATAGCCTATATTTGGCCCATATAAGCATATGAGTATATATATTCTAGAACTCCTTTAAACCCTAATCCTCATCCTCATCCACTCCACCCATTACATTTTACATTTTGATGCTCTATTGTTGATTTATTTTCTTTTTTCTATTATATTTTGGTGTGTGAACTTGGGTATATTGTCGGGTAAGAATTACCCATCGGTAAGAATTACCCGTCTTGTGTATGGAATGAATTTTCTACAACTATCGAAAATCGCAGTGCAGGTGGCACACGACCGCCATCGTGCATGCATTTGCCATCTTGACCCCGAACCCACGTAAGTCTATGGAAAACCGGACATAACATCGCTCCGAAAATCATCCGCACCGTCAGGGAACAGGTATATATGTTGAGGCCTGCACTGTTCTTTCTTTCTTTTCTTTTTCTTTTTCTTTTTCTTTTTCTTTTTTTTCTCTTCTTTTCTTTTTTTCTTTTTTCTTTTTGTGCTTAATTTTTTATTTATATTAATTTTTTGTTTTATGTGATTTTTTATTATTCTTTTATTTTTTATGTTTCTTTTATTTCTTTTATTTCTTTTCTTTCCTTTTCTTTTCTTATTATTTTTTATTTCTTTCTTCAATTTATTTTTAATTTCTAACTGCATCAGGTAGGTACGTAAGTATTTTTTTCTTTTTTATAAATGTATGTTTTCTTTTTTATTTCTTTTCTTTTGTGTTTTTCTTGTTTCTTTTCATGCTTTTTTTTTATTTATATTTCTTTTTTTGTTTTATGTGATTTTTTTATTATTCTTTTTCATTTTTCATTTTTCATTTTTTTTCTTTTTTGTTTTGTTTTGTTTTCTTTCCATATTATTTTAATTTCCTTTCTTCAATTTATTTTATTATTCTTGTTTATTT